CTCTTATGGCTAAAAATGAACTCGAGGAACACACCCACAAATGGATTTTAATGCCTTTAAGGAGCATTTTTCTTAAATTCTGAAATGAATCCTGGTCACTTTTATACAGTAGTCCCCCCGTGCCTGAGTCTGTGTGACTGATCTGTATAGCCCTGTTCCAAGTATCCGGTTAGCCACGAGAAGTTCAAGCCATGATGAGAAAACAAACCAGTCTCTTCTATGTTCTCCCCTAGCTGGTCATTTCACTGCTTCCTAACTAACCAAATGCTTGGAATAGGCTGGTTTGTAATACAAAATTGTCCGTGGGTTATCAAAACTACAGAGGAAACTTTCTGGTTTGTACAACTTTCTGTTTTCTGCTTTGGAGCAAATATTGGACCAAAGTCTTTAGATTACTCACCAAGTGCAGAGAGGTCTATACAAAAGAGATGAAGGGGCTGATAATATTCTCCTATTACTGAATCTCTAAATTTAACTATGCATGCTGTGATTGGTCAATTTAGCAGGCCATATTCTACTGCACAGCCCACTGAAATTTGAAGCTCTTTTTGTTGCCAATACGTCTTCTGGGTGCTCTGTGCTTGGGCCATAAATTCAAGGGGGAAAAGCTTGGTCTGTAACTAACTGTATGGACCTCGAACTTGGAAAGCAATGTAAACTTCAAGCATGCAATTCTGATAACTGAAGAGCCAAAATAATGTTTTCTCATGTACATGTATGACAATTTCAAGGAAAAAGAAAGAAAAGATAATTGGAAGGAAAAGGAAACAAATCTTAATTTATGTTGTGGGAAGCCAAACAAATACAAGACAACCATGCAGGATCATGCGGGATACTGCACTGTCCAATACTTGGAAAATATTGGACCAGCAATAGAGCAATCCGAATGGCTGGTTTTAGTTATTGGCCCCCTGAACTATTAAAATAGTGTCATGAACTATATTCCCATTTTTCAATACCTCACTCAGACAAGCAAGAAGCTTTTTCATTTTGATCAAAACCTTAATCTTCAAGAGTTAAAATAGGGAGCCTGTGATTCCTGTGAGATGTTANTATAAATAGAAGGGTCTAGCTTGTTAACTCTTATGGCTAAAAATGAACTCGAGGAACACACCCACAAATGGATTTTAATGCCTTTTAGGAGCATTTTTCTTAAATTCTGAAATGAATCCTGGTCACTTTTATGCAGTAGTGCCCCCGTGCCTCAGTCTGTGTGACTGATCAGTCTAACCCTGTTCCAAGCATTTGGTTAGCCGAGAGAAGTTCAAAGCATGATGAGAAAACAAACCAGTCTCTTCTATGTTCTCCCCTAGCTGGTCATTTCACTGCTTCCTAACTAGCCAAATGCTTGGAATAGGCTACTTTGTAATACAAAATTGTCCCTGGGTTATCAAAACTACAGAGGAAACTTTCTGGTTTGTACAACTTTCTGTTTTCTGCTTTGGGGCAAATATTGGACCAAAGTCTTTAGAATACTGACCAAGTGCAGAGAGGTCTATACAAAAAAGACGAAGGGGCTGATAATATTCTCCTATTACTGAATCTCTAAATTTAACTGTGCATGACGTGACTGGTCAATTTAGCAGGCCATATTCTACGGTACAGCCCACTAAAATTTGAAGCTCTTATTGTTGCCAAAATGTCTTCTGGGTGCTCTGAGCTTGGACCATAAATTCAAGAGGGAAAAACTTGGTCTGTAACTAACTGTATGGACCTCACACTTGGAAGGCAATGTACACTTCAAGCATGCAATTCTGATAACTGAAGAGCCAAAATAATGTTTTCTCATGTACATGTACGACAATTTCAAGGAAAAAGAAACAAAAGAGAATTGGAAGGAAAAGGAAACAAATCGTAATTTATGTTGTGGGAAGCCAAACAAATACAAGACAATCATGCAGGATCATGCGGGATACTGCACGGTCCAATACTTGGAAAATATTGGACCAGTAATAGAGCAATCTGAATGGCTGGTTTTAGTTATTGGCCCCCTGAACTAACTATTAAAATAGTGTCATGAATATTCCCATTTTTCAAAATCTCACTCAGACAAGCAAGAAGCTTTTTCATTTTGATCAAAACCTTAATCTTCAAGAGTTAAAATAGGGAGCCTGTGATTCCTGTGAGATGTTACGGAGCAAAAGTTCCATCCCCTCGCAAGAGACTAACTGGGCAACTTTGGCCTTTTTGTGAAATTTTCTGGTTTTCTCTTTTTTTCCTTAAGTTTCTTGGTTTTCTACTGAAAGTTAAAGCAATGTTCCACAAGTCACAGAGCTACAGAAATGTACCAGTGTTGTTGATCCAGAATACTACAATTGTATTAAAATTTGCTAAAAATAACTTGCTGCGGCTTACTTTCTTTCTAAGACAGACTAGTAAATACACATTTTCCTGAGAAATAGGGACACTTTCCCTTTTAGCTCAAAAACCAGACCCTTCCATATTTGTTTACACAACTGAGCTTGCACAGCTGGACCAGGTGTGATGCAAATTCATACATGTACATGTACAGGGCATGTAGTAAGCTCTATATTTACAGTATCACACAAAAGATTATAATTAATGGTTGTTATGTAAGAGAACACATTCCACTGCAGCCCGAGATGACCTGTGACCCGGCAGTCGTCAGTGTTACTCCTCCTGTGGTGCCGTCTTTCTCCCATAGACCAGGTGTCTGGATTACCTGCAAAAAGAAATCAAAACGAAAATCAGTGATGTTAATGTCAGAAATACATGTAGAAGCTGCAAAGAACAACAAGGGTGCACTGTAGGAATTGCATGAGGACTGGGTACTAGTAAGGGTATCTCTCAGAAGCACTGGTTTGTTGGCACATCAACTGTGCGTCTGTCCTCCAATAGATTATAAGTAAGAGCCAACCAAAATGCAAAAATAATTTGACACATAAAATTATATATTTATATACACACTAGTCAACACAAATTTAGTTCATAGTCGAACAGAATCAGGAAGATAAGTACTACATTTTGTTTACATTGCATTACATGTTTATAAACGTTGTGATCTACATGTACCTTCTCCACAAGTTCTTCAAATGCAAGCTGTACTCCCTCACGTGTCCTGGCACTGTAACAGAAGGGCACAACAATTTGATCAATAAATAACATGTCAGTAGTTTATGAAAAATAATAATGTGAGAAATGTAAGAAAAGTGTAAAATGTCCTGGATCAGGTCTTTAATAATGTTAAAAGGATCATATAAGGAGTTTATTTTTCCACTACATTTTACATTTGACAGTAATTGTCAAATGTAAATAATGTCATAATTATTATGACATGAGGCTGTCAAAATGTCATGTTGCTTTACTTTCATTAATTTTTTTGCTAAAATATTTTTTGTGTTATTTGAAAAAACAGTGGGGCGCTAGTCCACAGAGTCATCTAACTAAGACCATCTCAAGTATGTGTGTTTATTTGAACTGATATTATTGTCAAGAGATGTACTGTAGCTGTAGTGCATTAATGAATTTTATACACTAGTAGGGTACACAGATATTAAATAAATGGAAAAAAGTCTCTCTATTCATGAATCAGTGTCATTAATTAGTGTGAAACTGGTCATTTTAATTTGCAACGAACAAATGTAAGCTCACCTTGCTTCAATAAATAACATGGAATGCCTTCTTGCAAACTGTAGTCCCTGTTTTCTGTCAACTTCGCGGCCTTCCTAAAATTGAAAGACACAAATCTCCACTAAGGCTTCAGCCCTCAACAAATATACATGAACCCACTTTAACCCAGCCTTAAACAAGGAGCCTTGATGGAGTAAACAAAGAGCTACACTGTATTCTTGCACTAAATCCGAAGAAATTGAACTCTGATGTTCTTGTGCTCTAGAGTACAAACATGCAGAAATGCAAGTTGTAAAATAACAAAAAAGAAAAATGAAGGGCAAAATATTACACTTCATACAAACTGCAGACAATTGATGAACCAATCAGGGCATTTTGCCCAAGGATTGGATGCTAATCCATCACAGACTCAGCCATGTTCTAACTACCCACTTATACATTGAGGTGAAAAGAGGCACTGTGAGATATAAGTGTCTTGCTTTGCCCAAGAACAAGACAAACTGAACTAGGCCAAGGCTTGAACCCATGTCAGCAGCTTGGTCCAGAGTCCAGCAAGCCGACCATTACACCAATGCCATGTTTCCCTTCTAAAACCCGCACCTCTCAATATGCAAGGAAATACAGCAATTACCAGACCACCATTCTGAATAGGTTTACCTTATCTATTTTGTTGCCGACCAGCATTTTAATGATGTCTTTTTTTGTTGAATACATTTCCACTTCATTTAGCCATTCTTCCAGTTTTTCAAATGTTTCTCTGCTACTTGTATCATACACTAGAGGGAAAAGAAACACGGAGGAATAATGTTACATCTTCAATTGAGCCTCGCATCAGACATCTCTGGTTTCATTAGCATTCTTTCCCCTGGATGGGATGTTAGTCCATCTGAGGGTTAACCCCCCCCCCCCCATTTATGACAGGGCTTGACAGTAACACTTACCTGCTTTCTATTGAAAAGTAAATTTACTTCTTGGAAAGTAAAATATCAAAAATGAGCCAAGATACTTACAGTCCACGATCTGGGAAGTAAATTTTGGTTATACTGGAAAGTAACTTTTACCCTAAAAAGGTGTGTCAAAACATGTATAAAGAGTAATCAAATGATAAAAATAACCATCCGACAATGATTTTCTGTCCTCAGAAGGGTGAGTTTACACCATTCTAACATTTACTGATCCGCCATATTGGAGTATCAAGAGAACTGCCAAGTAAGATTTTTTTATTAATTTATTAGAAAGTCAAAAATAAAGACTCCAAATAAATATCATAAAAAATGTCAAATTTAGATACCTAGGATAACTCCTTGAGCACCTCTGTAGTAGCTTGGAGTTAATGTCCTGAACCGCTCCTGTCCTGCCGTGTCCTAAAAATACAAAAACTGGAAGCAGTTAATACAATGCAGAAACTAAAGCAAATTAATATTAATTTTAAAAAAGGTAACCATTCAAATTTTAGACTTTGTGGATCATTTTACATTAAATAAACATATTTAAAATATAGGCATACGTTGTTAAACTCCAAAAGTAGTGAGGTTTTTTAATGTACATGTACAATCATGTGATATATTGCACTCTTTGCTGCATGCGTATTTTTGCAGTCATAGTCTTCAATTAATATCTATGTGTACATTGTACATGTAGAAAACTTTCATCCTTAATTTCTAAAGCGTAGGAATATCATACTTGATGATATTCCAACTTATTCCTTGCTCAATTTTCCACAAAAAAACCCCCTGCACTTACAATCAAACAAGAAGAGAGTCAGAAACCTGCAACTCGTCTGCCATCTTGGAAATTTCAGGATAAGCTAAATTCATAAATTTGTGGACTTGGATCCATCCAATTTATAGCTCTGAGCATCTTTTTTTCTCATTGATTTTATAGGGCATCAGTAGGGGGTCAACTGACTGGAGGTCAATGTTTTGCCGAAACCCAAATAATGCATTTTGCTTTGACAACCAGTCCCTTTAGAATTTTACCACTATACAATGTAATTGGCCAGGGATAATGACAACATTTCTTACCCAGATTGCTAGTTTTGCTTTGTTTCCATCAACAGTCAGTGTTTTAACTTTGAAGTCAACACCTACATACATCAGGAAAAATAATTTACTTGACAATTAACTATTCTCCTTTGCAGCTGTCATTTGGGGTCATCAAACATTACATGACTAGTTATTAACCCCGCGGCCATGTCTAACAATTTAGCATCCAGGTGACATGGAATAAAGATTGCACATTAATGAAAAACTAATGATGATTAGCCTGAAACATGTTATACAATCTGTATTTTTAAAATGTGTGTAATGATTGTCCTTTACAGCAGGTCACATAGTGGGGTTTAGATCTCTGCCAAAGAAAAGGAACAAAAAAGAACATCGGAATGACAATCTAATTTGGGATGTTATTTGACCATGAAAGCAACCATAGAACAGATTGAGTTTCCAAGAAAATTTCAGGTTTCAAAGGTAATTCCTTGACTCACTGTTGCAACTTAAGGGACTTAATAATTAGATTGGGATAAAACAAGAGGAATAGAAACCTATTGGATCAGGGCACAGCATGATTATATTACGGTCACCGTGACTTAATAGTGTACAATTTTCAACACCTTTCATGTCATATAAGACGCATACCGTGGAAAAGACTAAATTGAGTGGTTTAACTTTTTCAAGGCAACCTGGCTGAGAGAAAAGTGACCATGGAGTGAGGTGAATGCATCATGAATATACACATCTCAAAACCTTCTGCTGGAGTTTGTTTTGTACATGTATGCAGAGATGCCAACCTACACAAATTGAAATCTGGGAGCAGGGTTTGAAAGAAACTTGAATTCCTGCATGCCCTTGGGATAAGAAGCTCTCAAATTTTGCTTGTCCTGGGCAAGTCTAAGCTTGCTCTTTCAAGGATTTAGTTGGCAGATGACTTGCTGATCCCTTGCCCATTGGGCAAGTGAGAATGAAAAGTTACTTGCCCAGAAGGAGAATCTACTTGTCCCAGACGACTGGACAACACTTTTTTCGAGCCCTGGGGAGACTGCCAGTTTTACCTTCTTGACCCTAAAAAGGCATGCTTAAAGTTGACAATGGCCGATTTAACCACAAAAAAGTGTCAAACATCAATAAAAATCTCTCCCCAAAAAGGGAAAAATCAACCAAAATAAGTGTGGAAGTAACATACTTTTAGTGCTTTCTTTGATATCTGGGAGATTTGGTGATCTGTGTGGGAGACCAGGAGGTTTGGTCTGTATCCGTATACTGTATCCGGGAGATTTCTGGAAAAACTGGGATGGTTGGCATACATGTAGAGGTGTATAACAGCATGGTCAATCACATCCAATCAAATTGTCAAACTCACTTGAAGTCAATCCATGGATTGAGTTTGATAGAGTTTGACAATCGAACAAAATCAATCCATACTTGTACAAAAATGATTAGTCAATCATACTCAATTGAACGTTTCATTTCCGGACTCTTGATTTTTGTAAAACTATTGTTGACAATCAAAAACTCGAAGCTTGAGTTACTATGGTAGAACATGTGTCTTTTGTGTTTTTGAGACCATATAACATGATCTTTGTTCAAGCGAATTTATTCACTGAACACAATTGAATACAATCCATTGGATTGTGTTCAATTGAGTTTGGTTGCAGAACTCAGTAAAACACACTGTACTGAATTGCTTTCAGTTGTGTTCAATTTGTTTGATTGAGTGGTATTGGTTTGGAAATTGAACTCACTTAAATTTTGGTGTTTGATTTTGTTGGATTGCAAAACTAAATCAAACTCAGTCCACTGGTTGAGTTTGATTGAATTTGATTTCTCAATGTTCGATTGACTATACCTGGATGTGTATGCACTCCACATTGCTGCTCAGTAAAGGTCATTATACAGGTATAACATCCCGTCCTTTACAGGTACCAGAATGTACACTCACCTATGGTTGCTCCAATGTCTGGGTCAAATGTGTCATCAGTGAATCTTAGTAGCAAGCTGTGTTTGCATGGAAACCGTTATAAAAATTAGTTGACTAATTCAATCGTAATATGTTCGTATAAACAC